TATTTCCAACATGATTCCAAAGTAGCTATTTTTTCTAGCTCACGTTACACTACTTACTATCGTTCAGTAGAGTATACCACTTAAACAATTTGACGCATACGTGTTGCTCATATCGGATAAGTGCTTCTACCCATTCAGCAAATCTTTGTTTTTCATTTCACAGCTTGATCTCAGTTTCTTCCAATCGTACTTATGTGAAAACTGCTTCCAATAATTTTTCTGCTGATCTAGCTACCTGCTTGAATATCTGAGCTACCTGTTTCTGCCATCTAAATATTTCAACAAGTTGTCTGTTTTTTTATTTGTTCTCACACCTCATTGTGTCTATTAGTCAGATAACCTATACAGGCGCGTTTATGAAAAGCTTTTGACCTTCCGCCTTACAATCTACAAAAAAGTACAATAAGAGACATCGTGGTAGTTGGCAATATTCATTGGAGAGAATGAACATTATTGGTATGTTGATTCCTGAGCTGCGAAATTCTAACTACCGATCACTAATTAACAAAGTGGACTATCTTCAATTCCTACTAAGTCAAAACATGTGTCATAATTGTGATGTCATCACAGTTCAAGAATCTTGGTTAACTTATTTACATAACGATTGCTTAGTATCACCACGTGATTTCAATGTCGATCGTCAGGATCAATAAAGCAATAAAAAGAGGTGGGGCGGCGGTGTAGCGACGTTTGTAGATGTGAACTGGTGTTGATCTACTTTTTAATGTTTCAAGTCTTCAGATGACTTTATCGGCTGTCTAACTTTGAGATGTCATCCAAAACACCTTAATCAATACAAATATGTTTATATTATCAACATCTACATGACTCCAGACTGCACATCATCTGCTCCATCTGTTTTCGCTAATGAATTCACTAAATTCTCTGTTACTGCCTCCAGCGGTTCACTTTCAATCGTATGTGGTGATGTCAATTCATGTGACTGTAGCTTTCCTACATCACTAAGTCACCAAAATGTAGTAGAGTTTCCTACACGTTTGTAAGCTCATTGAGACTTCGTTTTCACTAGCGATGTGGGTACATATGTTACTCTTAAACGTGCTCCATTATCTAGCTCGGATCACTGTATAATTCATGTTTTACCTAAATTATATGGAAAGTATGGAAAGTGTACACTCTCATATCAAACCAAGAAAGTCAAATATTGGGGTTACTCAGAAAATATTCAGTACCGGGAAAACATGTTTTGTACGACTTACTGGGAATTATTTACAGACGACTAACTGGAAAAAACTACTGATGTTAACGCTTGTTATCTTAAATTCTGTTTTAATATTTGTTGTCCCACCGAAACCATTTTTTAAGTTTTGATTGACTTACATCACCACAACTCAAACGACTGTGGAGAATGAGAGAAAGAATGTACAGGGAGAAAAACTCCTTGGACCAATCCAAATACGGTGTTATTCGGTTTATAATAACTGTAGAATTTCCCAATTTTGCTTATAAAACTTTTATTTATATTTTGATAACATTTAAGGAGTAAACAGATTACCTCAATTATTTTTTGTAGCTGCATCGATTCAAAATTTTTATATCTTAGTTAATTATCATTAAAAACACCATTGACCTATACTATTAGCATACATTACATAATCATACAGCAATCGTTCATAGATTACTTTAACTTTAAAATAAAAATAAACGTCTTTATAGTGACAATGTGATATAAATGAATAGAACATTTGTGTGTTTTGTTTTAATGATTGACAACACTTATTGTTAACTTTTATTGGTTATATTAAGGATTATTTCCATAATTTTATTTGTATTGTTATTATCTAAATGTCTTTTTTTGGTAAAAAGTAAATTAATGAACTATCTATAAGAACTTTCGTCTAAATTAGAACGAATATTTACTCAGTATTTGGGCGCCGAGTTGATGTAAGACATTGAATAGGAATAATATATTTGTAAAATCTCAGTGAATGAATTTGAATTAAATCCAACGTTTCGCCTGGCAATCTGGTTCAAGCTTTTCCTATTTAATGAACTATCACTATGGTTTCATATCATTCATTTATTTATCAACATTTATTTGTTGAATAGTTATATTACATCGTGGATGCGCACTGCTGAGGAGTCCCACAATAGAACGAAACGGCCGTTCAGTGCTTGCAGGTTTTCCATGGTGGTCTAGCTTTAATTAATTCATGATCTCAGCTATATAAAATTACTAAAATCTCCACGAAACCCCCCCCTTTTGATACTTCTATATTTGTTTAATTATAACAATGTACTATTGTAACATTGAACTAAATAAATTTTGTTTATGTCAGTCATTTCAATAAACATTGATATTATTTCACTTAGTGAATAACAAAATGGATAGTGTTAGTTTCTTTTCTTTTTTTATCTGTCAATTAAAATGTTTTTTTAAGCATCAGTCTTAACTACAATATAGTAAACTCAATGAAATATGTGTGTTCGTTAGAAAACATGTACTTTTCATTAAAGTAAAGTAAAAGGACATTAATATAACAATATCCAAGAGAATATTTACCATAGTTACGTTCTATTTATTGATATTTTATCTAAAGTTGAGGAATTTCGAAATGTTTTTTTTAATTATTTCAAAATAAATTAAATTACTAAGATTATAAGTAGGATAAATAAATTTTAAATTTCCCTTCATCTATTTTTAAGTATCTGTTATTAGAATGATTCGACTTTTAACTTTTGTCTTTCGTCGATTGAATTCATCATTAAACATTGATACAATCTGTATTTTGTGTTAGTCGTTCATTAATATTTACTCTTTGAATGTTTAAGCATATATTTATGTGCAAACTGAGTAACATTATATATCATTTCGCAAGAATAAAAGGTTGGATTTTCAGCGTTTATCTTTAAAATCAACCTCTTTTACACATTATAAAATGAGTAGAAATACTTTAAGGAAATCCTTGAATCAAACAATTCTGATAAACTCATTACAAGTTAGATAACTTAATATCAAATTATGTCAACAATTAATTGAAGATCGCACATTTCTTCGCTGACACCATCCGAATTCCATGTACAAATCAATCAAAATATGGTTATCACAGCTATGTGATGCAAATCCAGATTCTAAACTCTACCGTTAAAACAAACATTTCTGAAATTTTTATTATAATTTCATTATCACAATAAGTTGTCGTTAAGTTTGAATGAAAAATTCCAAATTAGTTTTCTGTTAAAAACGAGAGCATAAGTTTTATTATCTAAATGAAAAAAATTAATTACCATAAACTTTTAAATATTAAAACCGGAATAAATTTGAACGGTTATTTTTTATCAAAGATATAGAATGCCAAATAAAAAGTCAATCATTAAAATAATTAACAATACACGAGCCCATTATTGAAGTATCCTAAGGTTCAAGTACCAATATACTAAAAACCAACTATAACGTCACTATACTGGTTGTTTGTTTGAGAATCAAATAAAAGAAACGGATTTGATTAATTGTTTTACTTAATATTTCTAAATTGTTCTCAAGTTTTTGGTTACTTTATAATTACGAGTTTAATTTAGAAAATTGAATGAGAAAAGTTACCTTTATTTTCATAAACTAGGCTTATTTAGATATTGAATGAATAACTATTTTAATTTCATGCTGCTCTCCTATCGTCTATGTAGTAGCCTACAAAGAGTAAAGGATATTCGTAGGCTACTAGTATTCGATCATAGGTATCATCGAAGCATTGCTCGTATATCCTGGGACCACCAAGTAAGTAATACAGTCGTTAGGAGAATGTTACCAGGTAAAGAGGGCAAATCGATTGATGAAGTACTGAAACTTCATCAATTGAGGTGGCTGGGACACGTGTTACCTATGCCTAACCATCGATTGCCCCGACCTGCAATGTTTTATGGTGTAGGAGCAGGTTGGAAGAAAGCTAGGGGCGTCCAGACCAAAACGTGGCAAAAATCCATGAAGTCACTGACAAGTGGACTGAGCCATGATGGTAGGTATAGACTACCTGGTTGGGATCTCCGAGATGACAGCAATCGATGGTTAAAGACCTTGAATGACATGGCTCAATATCGTTTGCAATGGCGAAGGTGCATCCGCTCTTTGTGTTCTCCCAAATTTTAATCTTCTGAATTCTTCATGTCTCTGTCATTTTACTCTTTTCAAATTTATTTCACTGGATTATACTCCTTGAATAACATCTTCGAACCCTAATATTATATTCTTACTACTTTTACCACTATGGGATTTGAATCGACAACTGCATCTCTGTGCTTATATGGTATGACAACTCGAACTGATGTACGTACGTACGAAGTTCTACGTTGTGACTGACTGATGTATCATCTGGATGGTAATTAGAAAATGAGTTTAATTATATCGAATGATTAAGTTTAAGCACGGATATGTCACGTTTCAAAGTTTGTTTATAAATGTCTCAAATATGTTATTTGTTTCGATTCGTTACAAATTCAGATTGTTAAGTTGTTAGCAAGTTTCTCTTCAAATAGTTTATTATAAGTAACAGTATTTTATATTAACTGCTGTCTCATTCAGATTGTTTATTTTTAGATCAGTTTGATCTATGAATCCATACAAGAATAAATCCTCGGATTGAGTTTTGATTTTCAAGTTATCTTCTGGAAAACTTCCACTTAAAAAATCAATCTTGTTCAAATATTCAACAATAGTTGGATTCGACTATTTAGAAAGACTATTCGGCCATCACTCTCTTCCTCCGATGTAAACAGAATGGCTGGATGCACTTCGTGTAATCGAGCCTGCATGAAATCGTACCCGGAACTCCTGATCCGTAGCCAGGCGCGTTATCCATTGCGCCACAGGCGCAACAATTAAAAACTACTTATAGAAAAATAAAAGTAGGTAGATTTTATTATTTTCATTCCCTTCCTTTTTTGATTGGTTGAATTAAAGTTGTATATAAAGGCCTAGTCTGAACAGACAATATGATTTATTTCAGAAAATCTTCCCTAATTTAATTATCCTACACCCAACCACTATGTATAAATTATACATTATTGTCATTGTCATTTCATTTGTGTATAAAACAACTGCAAAAGATTTAGAACAATGCGTAGGAAAAGCAACATTGTTGAATAATACTTTAACAACATATTCAGTAGTTCAATTAAAACCATTAGAATTACAGGATTGTCTAATGTTATGTTGCTCTCAAGAAAAATGTTTAGCTATAAATTTTTATTTTAAGGTCAGTATAAAGTTTTTTTTGTCTGGTTTTTTCTCTACTTATTGGAATATTACAAATATATATTAATTTATTTATTGTTGTTGGGTCTGGTTCTAACCTTCTTATATGAAAACATTTAAAACTATTATCAATTAATAGATATTGTTTAACAGTGGAATCAATAACACGCATTTTGTTCTAATCAGAACTCATCCGTTGGATTGATCTACATCATAATTATATTTTCCACATCGGGATAAACGCAAATCAAACTGAAGATTCCTAAGCAGATCAAGATAGTTATCATGAATCTAATAATAGTCAACATTAAAAGTGTATCTGACTGGTGAATACATATATTATCAAGGTATCTATTCAAAGTGAACATTTATGAATAGAGAATCACCAGCTTATTTCTGAATAATAACAAGTAGAAAATTGGTGTTCTATAGGTAACAGTAAATTTCCATTATTGTTTATAACAGTAAGCTCGATAAAGTGTTTGAACACAAGAAAATAAACTAAAAATTAGACTGGGTTCATTTGTGCTGGCTGTTTAATTTATGAACCTCTCATTGTCCTTCTAAGCAGTATTATTACGATTAAACTATCCAGTACATGGAACACATCTCCAAACTTCCCTTACTAATCTACTCATATTCTCTATAGTTTCAAAACTTGGTTCAGTTACTTCGAAAACAATAATACTGTTTTCACTGATTCTAGACAGTTGGTGTCTTTACCATGAAACCTATGAGCCGCATACTTGAAACGGCATAAAATGTATGAAATAATCAGCCAATTGATAACCCTATGTCATATATTTTACTTGGTCTGACCTTTAAATTTTCCATGTTATTAAGTTCTTTAATCTATGATTACCCTGAAGGAGCCCGGACAACTTAGCTGTCCGAAACGTTGGAATTACCTAAATTTCAATCGCTGAGATCATTTCGAATATAATTTTCACATGTAATAAACTATAATAGTTAGTGGAAAATAAGAAAAATACTAGTTTCTATCAATAGTCATACAAATCTATAAAATATAATTCTTATAAACTGTCTACATTTTTACAAATATCACGATCGATTCTTTTAAGTTAACAGTTCTGGTTCAATTACTAATTTGAAAGAAATTTTGAGTGTCTTACAGTTAAGAATATTTTGCTATCAAATTTTTGATATCATTTCCGTAACTTACCAGTTCACTGGTCAGAACTCTGAATATTGCTTTCACACCAAAAGGTTAATCGCTGAGCTGTACTAACTTATTTATTTACATACGCCTGTTACCCCTTATGCAGAAGTATAGACCGCCTATCAGCACTCTCCATTAAACCCGGACCTAAGCAATCCTTTCCACTTCTCTCCAGTTGCTATTCATCCTCTTCATGCCTGCAACCGTTTCCCAACGCAATATATTCTTTGACCTTCCTCCTTTCTGTTTCCCTTCAAGATTCAAAATTAGCACTTACCTCGTGATGCAGTTTGGTGATTTCCACAATGTATGCCCTGTTCACTTTCAACGCCCTTTCCTAATTTCCTCTCCGACTGGAACCTGGTTTGTTCTCTCCCACAATAGGTTGTAGCTGATGATATCTGGTCGATGGACATTCAGTATCTTGCGTATACAACTGTTCATAAGTACTTTTACTTTGTTAATGGTAGTTCTACTAGTTTTCCACTATTCAGTTCCTTACGATAGAACTGTCTTGACGTTTGTATTGAAGATTTTGACTTTGATGTTGGCTGATATTTTTTTTGAGTTCCATATGTTCTTCAATTGTGGGAGTGCTGCCCTTGCAAAATAAACAGCTATGAAATATGTTTTGAAAATGTCACTGACCGAATTCCCCCCTAAAATGCCGTGTAATCAAGGTATTTATTATTTATACCAAGAGAAGTTTTAAAAGGTATGCTTCTTTCAGATAGGAAACATAAATGAATGGTTGTATATAGTATAAGGTAGTCATTTTGATGGGAAACGTTTCAGAAAACTTATGAATAACTGTCTAGGTGAAATGGTCTATCACTTTGAATGGAAGGACATATAAGAACTATCAAATTATCTATTGTTCTAAATGTTCAAAAAAATGCTTTTTCAAAGTTTTCTCGTTATTGTTGTAGACAACTACGAAATCAAACTGTTCTCTAGTATATTACAGAAATACTATCTGTTTTGAAAAGAAAAATGGATGGAATCATTATATAATTAGAAAATCTGATCGACCAATTGCATTTATAGTTTATTCTCCGAAAACTGCACATTTATGTAGCGGTAGGTTACTTAAATAAATGTTATTAGTTATGATTTTATATTATTTTTTCATAATTAAATCAATTTATTATAAATCATTTGACTTTCAATCTTTAGATGTAGTTTAAAGCTGAGTTCGCGCTTTCGTGTACTTCGTAAATAAGTTTTACTTAAAGTAGTTTATATTTTTGTTTTAAATAATTCTATCTACTGTATCTGTTTTCATTCTCAAGTTTCATCTAATTTAATCATATTCATATTTGTATCATGGTGACTTAGTTATATATACGAAAAGTTGAAAATGTAAAATATTCCATTTTAAATTAATATTCTTTGATGAAGCTTATTATTACAAGTTTTTATATAATAAAAGTAATTTACAATCGGTTTCTTCAGTTTTAATTATTATCAACTGAATGAAATTAATTCGATCCTATTTTTTACTTAATATTTATTAAATTTCTGTCTTTCTAAACACAATTTCCAGTACTTATTTTACTCATATTGTGTACTGCATGAACTGTCACATTTAAGAAACAGGTATTAATTAGTTAAATATTTGAAAGTAATTGTTCAACTCTTTGATAAATAATGATGGGAACAATTAACTGAAATAGCCGTCTGTAATAACGTTTACTTTCCCGTCGTTTCTATAATCATTTTCAATTAGCTCAAAAATTATTTGTAAATGTCCAAGTGAATACTTGATTGGTATAAACAGTCTAATTGATATGTCTTAATAATCAATTTTAAAAGTTTATCCACTCGATAATATTCCTTAACATAAAACGCTTTTGAGTGACTGCTGTCACAAAACCCCATCCCACTAATCATAAGAGAAAGGATATAGTTGTGATACTCCAATGAGTATAAAAAAATAGATTTTCTTTATTTAAAGACGCTGCGGAACCTGTTCGAATAGACGATGTAAATTGTCAAGTCAAATCTTACTAGTGTTATTTATAAACTTACTACTAAATAGATCAAAATTTCAATTAATCGGCACTCTAAGGGAGTGACTTACTTTAAGTTGTTGATTGATTGAAGTTCATCTATCTACTCAGTGTATTATATGTATCCCATTACTATTATAAGCGAACTATCTAATTTGCGATTGACTTAAAATTATTGAGTAAAATTTGAACAGTGATATTTTCAAAGCAGTCATTTGTTACTGTAGCTAACTGAATATCAGTATTGAGACATTTAATTAATCTTCATTTATAAACAATGTTTTTCCATAACACTTACTTATGTTATATAAAAGTTAAATTGTTGCTACACATTTCAAAGTTATGTAATGCACAACAAAGATGTTCAATTTAGATTTGTATTTTTATTACTTTTTTGATACACTTTATTATTTGCATAAACCTGTTTTATTTTAGCGTAACATTTTTTTTATTTTAGTGTTTTTGACTGTGAATATTTTCCTTCAAACTGATATACTTGTATATTAAAAATCTGTATTATTTATTTCCCTTCAACCAATCAACTAGATCTTATTGTATAATACTATGTTTTCTTTCTTAACTTTTTTTCTCTTATTTATCTATTCAGAACATTCTCAACGAGTTATTTAATGAATTATTATGTATAAAAAGATATACATTTCTGTTATATCTTAGTGAAGATTAAATTACGGATAACTTCTGAGAACTACTAATGGACTGATTACATATATATATATATATATATATATATATATATATATATATTTCATAAATGTTTAGTAACTAAATTATGTATATCTATATTACTCGTATTATAAGCTTCATTTTGACCTATAAATTATTATTATACGGTTTATTGTTCTTAAGTTTTGTTTAACTTATTAATTACCGTCTTCCAAGTTCACAGCCACATTTTGGCTTGATCTTGAATAAATGTTATTTCCTATTTTGTGGTTTGATGTGGTCTGTTTGGTTGGTATATAAACCAGGTATATTTGAAATAAATGATTCGTATAATGAGAGCTGTTATTGGTGTTCTGGACTCGACTGGAAGGGCTAGGAGGACAAAGGACCAATAAGGACGCCAGGCTTCTGATACCGGTCAAGCGTCATTGGTTTGACACAGTACTGAGATCGTATGAGTCGTATTCTGATTGGCGAATAAATTACGTGACAATTAGCGGGGCTCAAGGTTACATCAATTTGTAAGACAAATTCTGAAAGACATGTCACTTATATGGGTTGTGAACCAATAAGTTTTAATTTATTTTTTGTCATTAATACTTTTTTAAAAATTTCAGATTTTTGAATTAGAAATTAGTTTGTACACCTATAAAATAAGTTAGTCATTCAATGAACTTGTCAGCAATCTGTTCAGAGTAAAATAAATTAAGTTATGTCTAGAATGATTTCAAATTGATTGTGTAACGATGATATTGAAATCTAACTGATAAGTAATCTATTAAATTCATTTTACCGTTGATAAACTTGTTCATAATGAAAACTGTTTTACATATTTCTCAAATGCATAACACTTTTTCGTTAGATTAGGAATATAAAATAATCACATAGATTGTATGGTTTCTAGCGGTGCAATCCAGGATTTCACTTCCAGCCGCCATGCAGTTCTGCTTATAATGCTTGTGACCTAATGGCAATATAATGGCAAGCCACACAGGATGTACACTCGCTAAAAGAGACTGATCAGTTGCAGTCTTAAATATCAGTGGGAAGATTCGTAAAACCAATACAAATGGATTAATTACATGAATTTATTACATTACTGAAATTCAATTTTAACTGTTTAAATACATTAGCTTTTAATATCAAGCAAAGTAGAATCTATTCTATTATTATTCGTTGAAAAAAGAAGTGTGGTTGCAACTAGTAAGTGCAAATTGTGTTCACCAGAATGTTATAAGATTGAAAGATTACTTCGGTTAATAGCTTTTATGGAGTATAGAAAACGGATTATGTATCAAAAGTTCATTTCAATTTGTCAATAAATCCTAATTTTTATTCTACTAACTTCTGTTTCTGAACGAATATGGAGAAATGATCAAATTTTCTAATGGGAAACAAAATATCGTATCTCTTTAAAATTCAAAGTTATATGAGTGTATAGGATCAATGAAATAACACTGACCTTCAGCCAAACCATCTATCAAGCAGAATGTATGTCAACTTTATAGGATTGATAAGCGGAAATTAGGTGTTTAATGACAAGTCATTAGGATCATGGGTGACTAACGCAGATCATTGAAGAAACGCCACGGGACTTACACATGCATTAGACAGTTGTCTCTCCTCTAATATCTTCTTCTAGATAATATCGTTCTTCAAGGTAAGTTTATTTGTTCCCTAAGTGTGCTATGGAATCAAGATATCTAGAACACTAATTTGGAGTGAGTCATGTTGGGAAAAATCATAAAAAGGTGCGACTTTGAGATGATTGCTTAACTCATCACATCATTACCGTTCGACTCTATTGCATAGTGAGTTTTAATCTAAAGATATAAGTAAGCACTATTCATCAGTTCAACACCCACAAACATATTGTAAAACATGACTTTTTGGTAAAAAAAATATTTTGCTGGAACCCAAGTTTAATAAGTGAGAGTTCAATTATTTGGCTTTTGATCAATGATTTAAATTCATTTGGTTTTTCAATCCTTAAATACTTCTAGTACTTAGAATGAGTAGAATGATTTCTGTTATCTTTGTAACCGCATAAAATTGAGATCCATCGTGTTATTTATTCATCTATTGGGACATCAACAGTCAGTATATCATGTATTTCACTGTTTTGATAAAACACTGATTTTGTTCGATTTGAAGATGATTGTCTATAAAACTGGCATAAGAAGGTAAACTAGTAAAAATCGTGTAGGATTGGATAGCTAGCTATCTCATCCCTTTTGAGTACTCCATCCAACCCTATAGGATCAAACTAAAGTCTTTCGGACCCTGCAGCGAGCACGAAACCTCATGATGGAAATCATGAACATTTTCGAATTTTAGTTGAAATGCTTAAATTGTTTCAAATTAGGTCACAGGTAAGTTATTAAATGTATACCTAGATACAAAGTCAAATTTTAAGAATCTGTGTCGATTTCATGAATAAGTTGATGATGATTAGCGGGAATAAAGAGTGTGTATTTCCTTAATAAATACTCACCCAGTGATTGTTCATAAGTTCTCACATAATCCACTCAGGAAATCGCTGCAGTTTCTAAAAATATAAAACTTCTAACAACTTGTCGCTACTTTAAAATTGTGACGGTATATATCATGAGGCCTCCCACATTGTCCGGACATTCCATGTACTTATATTAATTGTTGCTATGGTTGTTAGAAAGGGCATTTGCCTCCTGGCTTCCGAAGAATTTCAGCATTCACTATGAGGCGTCATAATTCTTCTAAATGAAGATCCTTCAACTCTCAGGGCAGAGTTTAAATGGTTTGAATTATTTTTTCTGGTTAGCGTTTCTTTAGTGGGTTAGTTTTCTATGTGACGGGGTAGCTGATCCTATGCTCAACCCTCCACCAGCAGTGACCTTAATAAGGTTACATGCGGTAAGTGCCTAATACTTTTCCTGAAACGTTTTACTAAAAACGTATTTCGACGAAGCAATTCTTTGTTAATTAACAATTTAAATGGAATATCATCGATATGTAACGTACCGTACACTGACATAATCATACCCATTTTGAGTGTATTGAAACATTCTACTATACTCCTCTGAACTATCAAAACTTGTGCTAATGTAATTTGGTTATCTATTCATTCTTTGAAAAAGGAATTTACATTAAGCTACGAAAATTTAGAAATTCAATGTTCTACTCATTCGAATAATACAGATGTATCGTTTAATTATCGACAACTGAGTGGTTGAAAAAACAAAACATGGTTCATCAAGCTGTACATATTAGTTGTCGTTTTAATTTGAGGCATATATTAGTTTGCAGGAATTAAAACTTTAGCATCGACTTTTTAGGATTGAGCAATAAGTTATAATCAATAAATATTTTGATTTCTTGCCTTTTTTCAAATATAATTATATTTTAAGATCCTAATCCTTATTTGTTGTATGCAAACAATCTGTCTATTATCAAAATAAATCATTTTTCTTCAGTCGTCACCTTCTTCCTCTTCTTCCTCTTTACCTACATCTTCATCTTCCGCTTCAGGTGGATTAAGCAGAGCCCTTAATGCAGCCTCTTCTTGGGGAGTTGGATCGGTTGTTTCATTGAAACCAGAAACTTCTTGATATTCATTCATTTCAACTGGTTGTACCTGAGGTTGAAAACCTGAAGTAACTGATTTTAAGCCCCATCCAACATAAATATTTTCAAATCGCCTATAAAAGAAGCATTGAAGGTTTTATATTACTGAAATGATATTACTGCTTAAATTTATGTGATAGTAAAGGACACTCAACAACATGAATCGACAAAAACTGTGATTCTCAACCCTTTTGGTTCGTTATCCCTAACTAAATTGCCGAAATATCAAAAGGAAACCCCTGCCATGTTGTTGTGAAGAATGATTATTTTGTATTGAATTTTTAATTAACCTTAAAATAGAAAGATTTCTGAACGACTAATACTTACTGACTTAATAAAGAAAGCAAACACACAAAGAGATTATGTTGGCAATGAAATAGCGCTAATAAAAATCTGAAATGGACATAATTCTAGCTCAAAGATCAATACCCTAAAAGATTGAGTCCTAATTTGATCATTTTCTATCGATGAGCTAACAAGCTAAGGATTCTGTGGTATAAATTCTGTCTACAGGATTCTAAAAACATGAATGTAAACAAGTGTGTAGACCTATTTCATTTAATCTAAAAACAATAGTCTGAATTCAGAGAGATATTTAAAAATATCTAAATTCAAGAAGGAGGAAATTTAGTGCACTTAAATGAGACATATTGAGTTATCTCAATTTATATGGTGTTGCAAGTAATTTTTCTTATTTGTGAGGTTTTAGGTGTCTAAAATATTCTTTTGTTTCACGTAACTTTTATGAGATCAATGTAGCTACTTACTTCCCCCATGATACTGCATGTGCCCCCACCCAGATATTGGAAGACACGACAACAGATGCATATTCTGGTATTAACTTAGAACTTATTCTGATCGACCATGGTTTTTGTCCAAATATTGGTAAGTCAGATGAAATTGGGGTAAGTATAGGTGGCCCATGTTCTGGCTGTATAACATTCTTCGTTTGACTATCTTCATTTTCCTCTGCTTCATCCTCATAATTGATTTCATCAAAATAATCACCCAAACCTTTTTTTGGATTCCACCTAATCAAGAACAAAATGTGAAAAACTTATTCGAGTTTAATAGCATTAAAATATGATTAGACGAAATCATTATTAAATCTGAATATCATTTTTTACTTTTATTGTTGTTTTTTGTTAACTCCGACTGGAACCCTCTGGGGTTACTGCCTGTTTCAAGCCCGGGTAAAAGAGGAGGGTTGGGAATGGAGTTAGTGACCTCGCCCCATAGGAAACAACCTTGGTAAAAATACGCTAACCAGAAAAAATAATTCAAAACATTTAAACTCTGCCCTGGGAGTTGAAGGATCTTCATTTAGAAGAATTATGACGCCTCATGGTAAATGCTGAGATTCTTCGGAAGTCAAGAGGCCGATGCCCCTTCTAACAACCAGAGTAACAATTAATATAAGTACATGGAATGTACGGACAATGTGGGAGGCCGTGTGGACTACTCAAATAACTACGGAAATGAGGAGATACAACTTGGAGGTGCCGGGATCCAGTGAAACCCATCGGACCCAAGCTGGACAGAAAAGATTAGATTTGAGAGAGACGCTGCTGTACTCTGGTCATAAATAAGAAAAAAATGCTTCGCACACACAAGAAGTTGCACTGATGCTGTCGAAATAAGCACGAAAGCACTTATAGGATGGGAGTCTCATGGATTAAGGGTCATCAAAGCCTCCTTCAAATCAAAGAGAGAGGGCATTACAATGAACGTTATCCAATGCAATGTGCCTACCAATGATTACAATGAAGATGTTGAAGATCAATCCTACGATAGGTTGCAGTCAATCGTCGAGAAATGCCCAACAAAGGACTTGACCATTCTGATAGAAGACCTAGATGCCAAGTTTGGAGTCGACAACACTGGACACGAAGGCATCATGAGACGACATGGACTGGGAGAAAGGAACGAATGTGGTGAGAGTTTTGCAAACCTATGTGCCTTCAATAGACTGGTCATAGGCGGCACTATATTCCCAAACAAACGCATACACAAAGCCACTTCGATTTCACCGGATCACACTACACAGAATCAAATCGACCATATCTGCATCAACAAAAAGTTCAGGAGGACGATGGAGGATGTGAGAACCAGAAGAGGAGCTGATATAGCATCCAATCATCATTTGCTGGTCGCCAAGATGAAACTAAAACTCAAGAAGCACTGGACAACGGTGCGGACAACATCACAAAAGTTTAATACGGCCTTTCTTCGAGATGCTGACAAAGTCAACAAATTCAACATAGTCCTCAGCAACAGGTTCCAGGCCTTTCATGATCTACTCAATGGAGAGGGAACTACCATGGAGAGCAACTGGAAAGGTATCAAGGAGGCAATCGTTTCAACATGTCAGGAGGTTCTGGGCCAAAAGAAGCACCGTCACAAGGAACGGATCACTGTTTGTACACTGGATAAAATTGAAGAAAGGAGGAACAAGAAGGCAGCAATCAATATCAGCCGAACAAGAGCAGAAAAAGCCAAGGCACAAGCCGAATACACAGAGGCAAACAAGCAAGTGAAGAGGAGCATCAGAACCGACAAACGTAAATATGTGGAAGATTTAGCGATGACAGCGGAAAAGGCTGCAAGAGAGGGAAACATGAGACAACTGTATGATACAACAAAGAAACTTGCTGGAAATTACCGTAAACCAGAAAAACCAGTGAAAAGCAAGGAAGGCAAAGTAATCACCGACATTGAAGAACAACGTAACAGGTGGGTAGAACACTTCAAAGAACTCTTAAATCGACCAGCTCCACTGAACCCACCCAACATCGAAGCAGCACCCACAGACCTCCCAATTGATGTTGGCCCACCAACAATTGAAGAGATTAGCATGGCCATTAGACAAATCAAGAGCGGCAAAGCAGCAAGACCACATAACATTTCGGCAGAGGCACTGAAAGCAGATATAACAGCAACTGCAAAGATACTTCACATTCTTTTCAGCAAGATTCGGGATGAAGAACAAGTACCAACAGACTGGAAGGAAAGACTTCTGATCAAGATACCAAAGAAAGGCTATCTCAGACAGTGTGGTAACTACAGGGGCATCACTCTTCTCTCAATACCAGGAAAAGTCTTTAACAGGGCGTTGTTTATCAAAATGAAGGACTCTGTAGACGCCCAATTTCGAGACCATCAGGTTGGATTCCGTAAGCAACGATCGTGTACAGACCGAATCGCAATTCTACGGATCATTGTGAAATAAACAATTCAATGAAATTCATCGCTCTACATCAACTTCATTGACTACGGGAAAGCATTTGATAGCGTGGACAGGACAACACTATGGAGGCTTCTTCGACACTACGGCTCACCTGAGAAGATAGTCAATATCATACGGAACTCCTATGATGGATTAAACTGTAGAATCATGCATGGAGGACAGTTGACGGACTCGTTCGAGGTAAAGACCGGTGTTAGGCAAGGTTGCTTACTCTCACCCTTTCTCTTTCTCCTGGTGATCGACTGGATCATGAAGACGTCAACATCTGGATGAATGCACGGGATACAGTGGACAGGCATGATGCAGCTTGACAATTTAGACTTCGCGGATGATTTGGATCTTCTATCACAAACGCTACAACAAATGTAGGAGAAAACGACCAGTGTAGCAGCAGCAGTAGGTCTCAATATAAACAAAGGGAAAAGCAAGACTCTCCGATACAATACAATATGCACCAATCAAATTACACTTGACGGAGAAGCTTTGGAGGATGTGGAAACCTTTACATATCTGGGCAGCATCATTGATGAACACGGTGGATCAGATGCAGATGTGAGGGCGCGGATCGGCAAAGCAAGAGCAGCATACTTACAACTGAAAAACATCTGGAGCTCAAAACAGTTGTCAACCAACACCAAGGTTAGAATTTTCAATACAAATGTCAAGACAGTTCTATTGTATGGGGCGGAGACGTGGAGAACTACCAAAGCCATTATCCAGAAGATGCAAGTGTTTATTAACAGTTGTCTACGCAAGATACTTCGGATCCGATGGCCAGACACTATCAGCAACAAGTTACTGTGGGAGACAACAAACCAGATTCCATCCGGCGGAGGAAGAAATCAGGAGGAAGCGCTGGAAGTGGATTGGGCACACTTTGAGGAAATCACCCAATTGTGTCACAAGACAAGCCCTCACATGGAATCCTGAAGGTCAAAGGAGAGGAGGAAGACCAAAGAACACATTACGCCGAGAAATAGAGACAGACATGAGAAGAATGAACAAAGGTTGGATCGAACTAGAAAAGAAGGCCCAGGACAGAGTGGGTTAGAGAATGCTGGTCGGCGGCCTATGCTCCATTGGGAGTAACAGGCGTAAGTAAGTAACATGCTGTAGGAACTTGTATTTCATCTAACTGGGCTTGATCACTGAAGTTATTTCAACTCGTAATACTTAAGGATTGCGTTTTATGTAGCAATTTAGTATGAGATGTTGCTTATATGGCTTACGAATTAATTTCTTTTAATTATGTTCCAGATTTTTGAATCTTTAAACTCTTGTCCTGTTGTGGATGAATCTACATCTTTAATCGATACACTTGATTTTGTAAATAGACCACGGCAAGTTAAAACTATGCACTTAGCATCTGCAACATCATTTCTTCGTTTCACTCGTGCGCATCCTATAAGAATGATGGTAAGTTCCGTACTACTTTTACAGAATGATCTAATTGTATGATTTTTATTAAGATTTTTTTCTGTCACTTAGATATTTTGGAATTCGAATAATAAATGATTTGGCACAATACCGACAGAACAGAAATAACCGATCTTATTGTGTTAAACACAGCCCTTGCCAACGTTTGGTGACGTGTCATCAGTTATGCCCACAAAACCCCCTTGTGAAAATTAAATGAACAGCTAGGATGCAGCTGGACGATCTAGACTTCGCGGATGATCTGGATCTTTTATCTCACACGCAACAACAAACGCAGGAGAAAACGACCAGTGTAGCAGCAGCCTCAGCAGTAGTAGGTCTCAACATACAAAAAGGGAAAAGCAAGACTCCGATACAATACAATATGCACCAATCGAATTACACTTGACGAAGAAGCTTTGGAGGATGTGGAAACCTTTACATATCTGGGCAGCATCATTGATGAACATGGTGAATCTGATGCAGATGTGAAGACGCGGATCGGCGAAGCGAAAGAAGCATATTTACGACTGAATAACACCTGGAACTCAAAACAATTGTCAATCAACACCAACATCAGAATTTTCAATACAAATGTCAAGACATTTCTATTATATGTGACAGCAACCTGGAGAACTACGAAAGCCATCATCCAGTTGTCGATGGAAAATACCGCGTATCCGTTGGCCAGACACTATCAGCAACAAGCTACTGTGGGAAAGAACAAACCAGATTCCAGTGGAGGAAGAAATCAGGAAGAAGAACTGGAGGTGGATAAGATACACATTGAGGAAAGCACTCAACTGCGTCACAAGGCAAGTCCTCCTCAAATGGAATCGTGGAGGCCAAAGGAGAAGAGAAAGGCCAAAGAACACATTACGCCGAGAAATTGAGACAGACATGAGAAGAATGAACAAAAACTGGATAGAACTTGAAAGGAAGGCCCAGGACAGAGTGGGTTGGCAAATTCTGGTAGGTGGCCTATGCTCCATTGTGGGTAACGGGCATAAGTACGTTGTTTTTTGTTAACTGCATTATGCTACTAACCGTTATTAAGTAGTTAGATAGATTTTCAACTATTTATATGAGTTCCAGTTTGTTATAATTTTCTATCATGAAGGCCTGCCATTCCTTCCTACATTTGTTCCCATCTTTTCATTTTGTCTTTTGCTCGCAGTAGTACTTCTTCTTCCTCGGACAGTTTCATCTCTCCTGTGCACAGTGATCTACGAAACTGTCCATTTTAAATTATCTACTTATTTTTGAGGCGTATACCTAGTTTATTTACAGTGCTTTCATTTTATACTCGACTTTAACTCTGTCGAGTTGATTAAATGCCAGACGCCTAATGAACTTTTACCTGTATGCCTTGATTTCTATTTTGTCCCACACAATAAAACAGTAATTACAGAGGAATCTCGTCTTTTTATTTCATGACTTTAGACTTCTTTCAGTAGTTGGATTAGAATTGTTGTACAGACCAATTGGACAAAAAGTGAAACCTTGCTTTATATCATGTACTAAGTTCACATGGGTAACTGTTGGATACCAGACATTACTAGACAGTTTCCTGTTCCTGGTTTTATCATTCCTTCGAACCAGTGGGTTGCCATTAAAAATTTTGTTTGGACAGTACCTGTTGCCATTGGTGATATTGATCTCACTCCCAATTTAGGCGAATTACACATGTCATGGCTTTTCACTACTGAGTACTTAGTTCAATCCCAATATTTCCCCTTTATAATTACCAAATGAGGTTTTTAATTAGCAACTCGATTTATTCAAAAAATGAGGAACTATGTGTTTTTTCCTAACTAATTTAAAAACTAGAAAGTCAAATCCTTGGTGGTGATTTTCCTGATATTTCTAGTACTATTTTAAGCATAACATCCTCCAAGATGAACGGAAGATAAGAATTATTGACTGTTTGTTGAATTATTTTTTTATCCATATTAAAAGCAATTTACCGATATAGCTTATTAGTTGGCTCCTTTGTACATAGATAACAGCTTTAATCGTACGGTATATATTTAGCCAGTTGATCACTGATTCTGTCTTTTGAAATATGTTCAACCGGATTTCAAAAATCGGTTTCGCAAGTACTTATCAGTCCAATTATGGTAGTTATTCCCATAATCTTATCTATCATTTATAGCTATAAAAAGATTTTCTAATGTGAAAAAATTGCTACCATTGCCTAGTGTTAACTTGCAGTGTAATGAAATTCTAAGTTCTGTAATTCGTTCCTATTGAATATATACGCTATACAAAATTCAGACTATGTCGCAATGGCTTCATGTTTACATCAACTCACCAATAAACTCGTCCTTGTGGTAGAATATAGGATGTATGATGTACCCAATGTATAAGACTCGGATCAGCTAATTCATTAATACTCAGTGGTTCATATTCTTCATTTTTTACATAATTCTGTCGTTCACCTTCTTCTTCATTTTCAAGTTCATCCTCTTCCTCTTCTTTACTTCCGAAAGTATAATAACCTTGTGGAGATATTTGGGTGGATGCGCTAATTCGTGCTATCTGAGCCCGTAAGTAATTAGCTTCATTACCAGGAAAAGGTGGATAACATGAAACTGGAGAATCCAATATTCCAGTAAAAAGACGGTGAATCTAAATAAAATTTGAATAAATAGTTCATTAAAACTCAGATATTAGACCCGTATAATTTTCTTACTATTCAGAAGTTAGTTAGTTTCCAGTACCATTTTTGTCTGGTTTATATAATGTGTGTTTATGTATATATAAATATGAACTGAACTGTGAATACATTGAGGTTATAAATGAAAGCATTTACCGAGTAAAATTATTAACATTGAGTCAAAAATAATTTTAAAGTTTTAGCCTATTTATATCATTACCAAACCCTAAGTAAACGTTTTCTGTGATTTATCTTGGTTTTTTCCAAGAAAATTAATGTTAAGATAGTTAATCCACCCGCACAATAATTGATAACTGATAAAATTGAATAAATAAATATAATGGATGAAAGCAAGTTCATTTTATGTGGTACTGAGGTTTTTTATGCACAGTCCTAAGAATAAAAAATTGAATTTTTATTCAACAATAGTCACTAGCACTAGGCACCATAAAACATGCTTTTGGTACTAATCAGCGATCAATGTGTATAAATTAAATAGTGTGTTTATCTTAACTTCAAAAAGGAATCGCAAACTTAATTTAAAGTGGAACTAATTGTAACCTGTGTGAAACTAAGATGATAATAGCGAATAAATGGTTTACATCAAACCTCAACCTAATTATTTTCAAATTGAAGAATCTCGTGTTAAAGTAAAATGATACAAAACTATTTAGTAGTTACCACACCTTAAAGTGAAGTGATACCTTAATTTTTTCCCAAATAACGTATCTTAATCCTTACCAACGAGTTCTTGTCATAATTTTGGATCTATATTTTTTCCCAAAGGCTAGAATCGCAATCTGGCTGTTCCAGTAAAATATGTTCACCTAGATAGGAATCTAAATCTAAATCAATGAAGTTCCAATGCTTATGGAAGAACTGTCAGAATAATAACCTTGTATCGTTTTTCCCCTAAAATCTTTTAAAAATTTATTTTCATTGCTATTCAACACTAAAAAGAACGTACAGCTCGAGCAGCTACTATTTGTTCAGGTGTTACTGGTGGGAGCTTTATCCATTGTAGGCCTGGTTCATGACAAACGAAATAAACTTTCTTATTAGCTCCAATATGATTTTCCTCTCTCGGCACTTTGACTGGTGGCTTCCATTTGGACTTTGGTAGAACATCTTTGCCTTCTTAAATAAAACTCAAATAAGTTTGTTAATGTCGGTTAAAGAGATTAACAAAATGACTATAATGATAATGAATTTTATGCAAAATGACCAGTCAAACTATTTTACCACATCCCACAAAAGTAAATCTTAATTTCGGATCAATCGAAACCATTACGCCCTGCATATTCGAGTTTTCATAGTAATTCTTCATGAAACATTACAAACATCCTTCATAAAGCTATTATGGGGTAACACCTAATTACCTACAAATTACATAACTATTACTTATTCTCACTTAAACTCCTTTGGTGAGATAAAACCCTTAATATAAAGTGGATTCTTCAGAAAATCGAGTGAAACAACCTACTTCAACAACATTACAGACAGCCTACCCACCATATTAAGTATCTGTTGGAGCAATAGTGATATGTTGAGCTTATATAAAATAGGACAATTCCGACCGTATGTAAATTCATCAGTGTAAACTGATGTTATGTATTCAATCAAACAAGCTGATAAACAAACCTAAAGCCGAATACATTTTATTCGATACCACGATAAATTCAGCAGTTCAGGTGTAATGTGACACACTAATTAGTATTTTCTGATCTCTTTGTACACAGCAATTGTTCACTGCTTATATATAAACTCTTACTACTAAATTTGATGCTTAAAATCAATCTACGAACTTTTATGCACTTTCTGGGGGTTCTTTTTACCCGAAAACAAAATCAAACAACTTCAGGTATTGTTCAAGATCATAGTTTATTGACAAGTCTGCTTCATTATCACCTTGATTGAAGTTATTTCATTAATTTGGTCGAGTGTGACATATCGCTATATCTACAATCTATTCAGGTTGCTATTTGTCAGACCATGCTCAGAACAAATTTTCTTATAATTAAGGAGATCAAATCAAACTGCTGGCATTAAAACATTTGAAACTCTATAGAACTTATTCAATCGATGGATGTTGTTGAAAGTCGATATAAAAATTTAATTAAACGGACGAATTACCGTTATAATGCAGAACAATTAGAAACTGAGGATTAATTGACCGTAGTATCATCCACCAGATACTACTCAAGTAACTGCATAGTATTGTGCTATGGGTTCATTCCTGTAAGTAATCGTATTTTTGTACTACTAAAGGGTAATAAATTAAGGAAAAGGTTTTCCAACCCTCCCTGCTCTGAACGATCCCCATAGCGATGTCGAAATCATGACAAACTTTGGGGTCAATAACCTCACAGTTCACATGTATTTCTTCATCGATATACAGTCACCTTCTAATGCAGTAACGTCTCGAATAGCTGCGAGAGATACTTCCTAGTTCAAAAACTTTTTACTTGTTAGAAGACCAACGATATCTTACAAACCTTGATCATATTATTAATACTTAGTTTCTAATGGATCCTAGCGGCCAAAAAGCTCAAAACCTCTTATTCTGGTGACACAGTGCTTATCGAAAGCTTTCAATAATGGTTAAGAATTACAGTACATAGAAAACGTTGTGATGTAGTATTAAATACCAGTCAGGCACCTTCACACATTAAGTAGCCATTTTTTATTAAATGAGATTTATATTACTGATCCCAAGTTACAGATAAATTGGTGTAAATCTTCCCTATACTTGATCGAAATATTCCGGCGTAGGAGCGCTCAAACAATGCGAATTACTTCTGTTTGATGTGATATTTCCAGACAACGAAAGGTTCCAAGTGGATTGGTCATTCATTTAAATGGTGTACCAACGCATTTCAGTGCTTTTTAAGTTAATGACAATCTATCGCATTTTCTCGGTCCGGATTGTTACCAATCTTCAGCATAATTTGATGCTTTTGCCACGAAAGTAAACTTTGTTACTTCTAGTGCACAACAATAATAAACATGAGTAGGTCTCAAGAAAAACATCTGATCCCGAAAACGATTGCACTAACAACGAGAACTATTGGTCATATCCTGCTTAGCACTTGGTGAGGGATTCTGAAATATCAAAATATTACAAATAATTTATTTCAGCCTTGAAAATTACCATTATCACCCGGGTGCCAATTAAAGTGCACCACATATATATTCAAGCAGATTCGCGTCTTACTTATAGAACATGCTTCGCTAATGTTTGGCTTCCTCACTGAGTTCATAAAAGAATAATAAACTCGACATCCGAATACTTAGTTTTCAAGTGTCATGACATACCTCCACCAAGCCAATGCTATGCTGTGTAGAATAAAACCACTCTAACTAGATGTCAGACAGAGTGAGCTTAATCCTGAAGTTGTTTCATTAGTAAATAATGACCATTCAAAATAGTCTCTAAACAGTACATGTCTATTCATTGTAAAACTAGGAATGCTTGCAAAGCTAGAAGTTCATGAGAAAAACAGTCGTTTAAAAAAATTTCGAAAATAGTCCGAAAAGTTCGCTTTTGTATACAAAGAGGCAGACTCAGAGAAGTGATGAAGTTCCATCACTTTCGGTAGAAGAAAATTCGCTGATATTGGCGTGAAATGACGTTGCAAATGCCGAAACTTCACCATAACATTTTAGTCATGTTTTCGACTGACGATCGTGGAAGATCAAAAATTAATTGTGATAATGGAGGCTTGTTGGTGAGTCCTTCGGTTATAAGAAAGGAGACGTCTCAGGGTTACCTCAACATCTCAAAACTGATAGTTTAAGTGGTCCGGATAATGCTCATCCTAGGATTATGAAAGCCCTGATAGTTTAATCTCTAAACCTCTGACAACACTGTTTGATGCCCTTAAGGGAGTCTGAACTGCTAATATGACGGACGGACACAAATATCAATCCGGTTTATGAATCACGGATTAGAGACTTAGTTAGTAACCATTGTCCTGTTAGTCCAACCAGTGTATTAGTCGAACTAATGGAAAGGATTATTCGGATTGTTATTTCAAACTGTGTGAAAGGAAAGAATCTTTTAACCAGGGGACAATATGGCTTTTAAAAAGGCCCTCCGTGTTTGAAAAATATTCTCCCGGCAAGAGAAAATTGGGTTGCTGCAAAAGATAGTAATATTTCGGCAGACGTAATTTTCATGGATCCCATTAAAGCCTTTGGCATGGTATCTCACCTGAGTCCTTAATTAAAACTGAAACGTTTTAGGGTCCATTAAGAAATTTTCAGCTGGATAAACGTCTTCCCCTCAGTGGTAGAAGATAAGGAGTAAGAATATATGGAGCTCTCTCAGTGTGGGAATCTGTAAAAAGTGTTCTTCAAGGAACATTGGAAGACCAATACATAGTATGTCAGGCAAAACAATATTACAGGATGACCTAGATTCACCGGTTGAATGGATTAGTGGAAACTGAACTGTGAAAGATAGTAAAGTAGGACAGTTGGTCAAGCGACTCACCAATCATCTCACAATTGACCCGTGAAAACGGATTTTATTTGCTTGATTGTCATTGAAGAGTAATAAAACAATTCTACGATATCGTGATTATTTATCCACGATTTAAAAACCGCGAAGGTGTATTATAGATTATTAAGCCTAACCTGGCACATTAAACATTGTTTTAAGCCCGTGCTGTGATCAATATTCAAAGTTTACCGGCAAGTTCTGTGAAAACACTAACCTTCTGTTCCTTCTTCATCATCTATTTCTGTTGTATCACGATTAACCGGATCTGGACTTTCTTCCTCGTCTATGTCTTCCCCCTCAGGAAACTCCACCTCAACTATGTAGTAATTCTGAGTCAATCCATAAATTTTCCCCCAAAATCGAGCAGTTTGAACAGCTTGAGTATTCACCAAAGACTTAATAGCCATGTTTAATAGAACAGTTTCGTTTTTCCCAATACCTATTCCTGCATTTTCAAAATAGTATGCATTTTCCGTCACATTCGGAAGAGGATGTTCTTCTCCTTCATCTGCTACAGGCTCCTCATCCTCTTCTGAGTTTCTCTACAGGAGACATAAATGGGAAACTTTCTACTAATCAACAACTCCATACCGAAAACAACTTTTGCTGGATTTTTGATGCTGAAAACGACGCAGGATTCATATTTGAAGGGTCTCCTGGACCGTGTCGTTTAGTTCCTGCTTTGAGGCGACTGCTCAGGATCTCAAATTCATTAAGGTCATCGAATCTTTGCTGGCATAACATGTGTTTTATACAGTTCTTCAGGTGTTGATATCTACAATGACCTGACATTCCGTGTAGAAATTACTAACAAGTTGTTCCCATAACCGTCCGTCATTTCTAGCAATTCCATTTTGTGTTTCAAAAAATTTCCACCGCTTTTAGTTGCCTCACTCATCACTACCCCACCGTCAAATTATGCCACTCTTTGCTGTCATGGCAACAAAGTAAATCTAGTTTTGTAAACAAGTCTCCGAAATCTAAAATAGTCTCAGAAAACTTTACACATAGAAGAAAAACATTTGCTTAGTCGTGCTCAAGCTTCAATCAGTGTAACAAGAAGTCTGTTGGAAACATACAGTAAAGAAAATTGAATAAATTCTCAAATAGAGATCGACAGCGGGTATAAAAAATGTTCCAATATTTTGAGTGCCTCAGTGGCCTAACTTTATAAGTGTCCTCCTTGCTGGAAAAACGTGGTCGAAAAACGAAGTACCCGCAATGGCGCTTTCGGAAAATTATTCTTCACCAAGCAAGAACGCAAAGTTCAGGCAAACGAAAAACATGGAATTGGAGACACTGTATTCCGTATTCTAGAAATCACCTTAATCTTTATTCCTGACACCTGTGAGATTATCAGAACGTCTAATGAAGTTCGATTACCCTGCACGGAGATATAGGGCCAGCAAGATGTTACTGAGCCCTAGCCAATTAATCCGACCGTGGGATCACTATATATCGGATAGTTAGCTGATCCTGGTCAAGTTCAAGGACAACCAACACCTATCAACTATTCGCACGCTATGAACTGGCCCCCACGGTGGTGGTCACTCTCCATAGTACCTACACTTGCTGATATATTTTTCAAAGACTTCCTATATGTTGCGTGGTCTTCAAAACAGCCATCGTACCTTAATACGACGACAGGGAAATCCACGACCATGAGGTGTGACTTCGAAGTTAGCTTCTGGTCACAATATTCCTGCCTAACTAGAGTAGACCCCCAATCATTCGACACATACCGTCTATATAAGTGATGTACGGGGCTTCGGAAGTTCCTCATACAATTACGCGGAACGATTTTCCAGAACACCCAGTTGAAGTTCCTCATACAACACTCCTTAAAAGTCAATCGCCACTATTTTGGTGATGGATTTTATAATCGTTATAAACAAGTAGCGAAGTCGTTTTGCGCATGAAAATTTTAGCTCGTACAGCAGAAACATTTGTCGAAAGCTTCCTCATATCAAATGACTAAACTCACTGACCGAAGACAGAACTATTAGAATCTATTTCTTGGGGAATGTCATCGGGATCACAGATTTTCGTAAACGATTAATGTTAAGAAAGTTTTCTCCCAAGTTTTGTTTGAAACATTTCGCTTTTAGTAACAAATTTTCGTGTAAATATCCTAACTGAGATGAGTTTACTGCTGATACGATCATCTGGATAATGGCGAAGTTGATGGATGATATACGTTCTTAAATGATGACAACTGCGCTGTTACACAATATGCTACAGAATAAGCTAGAAGCTGAAACTGCATTATTAAATTAAAATTTCACTGCTTCAACATGCAGTTCTAAGACAGAGGCTAGTGAACTGGCTAATTTATATCACTGCTCGTGGTGGGTGTCCTTATAGAGGTTCAACGTAACTTTTGTCTGGACATATTGTGAAATTTAATATTCATGTACTTCAATAGTGTGAATTTGATTAATGTCATGTTTATGTAAGTTTGTTTTGGAAATTTGAATTTCTTGTTTTCGCACCGAAAGTGCCCATTTTCACCTTCATATTGTATTCACCACTTGAGAAGACTTTAAATGTCATTGGTTAGTTGTCTCTTTTAACATGCTATTTTGTAACGTTTCCTAAGGACATTTTTAGGTCGTATACATAGGCTCGAATCGTGCTTGTGTTTGTCGTTCGTGCTTCTGGCTGCTTGTGGAATATACTTTCCTCTTCTGAACCTGAACTTCTCTCGCTATTGAGCTGGGCTGGGGCTCATAGGAATAGTTAGCTTATTTGGTCATTGTGTAACTGGATTTTCGTTCCGTCCACAGACTTGAGTGAACTCTTAATCGCGTCAAACATAGCAGTGAAAACGTTTTACTAAATGATTTGCATGGAATGATCTTCCATGACAATGCAATAATTACATTTCATCCTTACCTCTTTGCATTTAAAAGTTTGTAAATGAAATCATTAAGTGACTTGTAAGGGTGTTAGAAATTAACATCGTCAAACTGCAAGATTATCAAGTGTATTTATCTTTGCCACTAGAGTAATGGAAGTTATTCCGAGATTGTGATTTACCATGATGTGATTCGTCAACCAATAAGACCTTATGTGGAATTCATGTCGTTGTCCATGCTGACTCGTCCTCTTGTGATATCAGTAACATGATGTTTAGCACTTCTGAAGAAAACACTGTCTGGGAACATAACATATTTAATATGGAAACAAACTCGATCAAGTGGAAACTTAATTCCAGAATCAAAGTTGTTTGGTTCATCCAAATCTCTAAAAACAACATTTGAAGACATTTGACTATTTTTTCCTGGGCAAGACATACTTGTATTCTTACTTTGTAGCTTCGTGGAAATATTCTGTGACTCGAGGGATAGTGAGCCTTCAATGGCAGTTTCTATGTTCCTCACTGGCTCCCGCACAGATTTTCAATCCCCATCACTAAGGTTTTTAATGTCTTGACTTTTTGAATTGATGACAGTTCTATTTGGGTTGAAGATACCACCGGTATTGTAGTTTGACAACACATTACCTGTAACACCTATAATCGAATCGTGCCCGCCCAGTAAAATCTAAATTGAGAGGCGAGGAGGTTGGAAGATATATTTGATGGGTTACAAATATATCGAGAAGTGACTGATCTAATCGGTCTAATGATCGTGGGGGACGTTTCGCATGTCGTTCTGATACGTGATCTGGTACGGATACATGACCGAGCGCCTTCAGCTAAATGACTCCACTAAAACGAATGTGGTCAGCATCCAATGTTGAACACTTACAGAGCTATTGATTTTGCGGATTTATTTACAGCTACAGGGTCTAAATGTTATGTGAATTTGTGACTATCTTCAGTAATAGGTGGCCCATCGGCACACGAGATCGTTCTTCGCGATATTCGTAAAGGATTTCCTGTCTTTACATTTAGCGGTCGCGTGTTTATCTTGTATTAAAGTTGCACGTGCAGTACCGGAACGGTTTTATTGTCAGTACTAAAATCTCGATCTTTTATCCATCAACACGAATAGCCATCACTTCCTGGATCATCAATGACTTCTTCAAGCAGCAAAACATAGTGTCAATGATAGTTAGAATTTGAATATCTCAGTAGGTGTTGAACGGGTCCAAACCATATAAAGTCATTTGTTACACACATCACATCGCACTCTTTCTGCAACAAAAAAGGACAATTAGGTTATCCACATTGATAAATACAGTCGGCAGTATGGTAACGTTTGCACAAAATTCAACTATGTATTTCAAAGTCACTTTTAATAAAATTTGTATCGAATTAGACAGACTGTCAGAATGAAATAAAAAAAAGTACACACGATACTAGAAGATTGTAGGGAACGACTGAAAACATAATAAACGAGCAACTAATTCAAAAAATCTGGTCTATAACTGACCTTAAATGTTTTGGATGTTATAAGCAAGCAAAAATAAGGTTAATTCATAACACCTTTGAAAATCACAAGCTCTTCATAACTCACAGCACTACTAGGATACTTATTTTATTGAACTTTATACCACAGAGAAGCATACCTTACAACTTAAAGAGAGAACTAAAAGGAACCAGCGGTTTGCTATTTCCGTCCATCAAAGAATGAATAAGCATCCTCAATCCTGGCATCACCACTTAGCGTGAATTTTTCACACTCGCTAAGCCGAGGCAAACTGCCGTAAATTTGGAAGATGGCTTACATCACATCAATTTTCAAAGGAGGAAGACGCAGTGAACCCTCAAGCTACCGACCAGTGGCCCTCCTCTTCATACCTTCTAAAATTATGGAATCTCTAGTATACAACGTTGTACAAGAATACTTATTATCCTTAAAGTTCTCACTCCAACAGCACGGTTTCAGAAGGGGTCATTCTTGTATGACGAACTTGCTGACTGCTGTGGATAGATGGACAACCATCCTTGATCACAAGGGGAAGGTTGACGTCCCTTACCCTGGTTTTTGGTGGAGTCAGCCACAAGTGTCTTATCAATAAGCTTAGACGATTGGGTATCAAACCCCCTCTGATTGACTGGCTCACTTCATATCTAGAAGGCTGATATTTTAAGGTCAGAGTTAACTTCACTCTCTCAGGCTATGGAATGTCCTAGTGGGGTCCCCCTGGGGCTCAGTACTAGGACCGCTTCCCTTCTTGATTTACACTAGCGATCTTCCTCATCTCACTTATTGCTTTTTACTGATGATGTGAAAGTTTGGAGAGAGATACGTAATCATAAGCATATACCAGCACATCTGACTTGACTCCAAAGTTGGGCAGACGACAACCGACTTACCTTCAACACTTCAAAGTGCAAAGTAGTTCATCTGCAACATGTTGCAGACTATAGTTACAACTTAGGAAACTCCTCCCTAGAAGTTTCCCAAGTCGGAAAAGATTTAGGAGTGTTGGTACCTTACGACTGTGACAAAAATGCCTTTCAAGCAAACCTTGCACTGATAACATTGAAGCGAATTTTTGACCAGTTTGACGTTAGAACCTTCCACATAATCTTCAACAGTCTTATTTGTCCCGATTTAGAGTACGGAAACATAGTAATTTCCTCCCTACCTCCAAAAGGACAAGGACACTCTGGGACGTATCCAAAGTCGGGCCACGAAATCAGCCCGAGGACTCAAATTCAAACCTTATGAAGAACGCCTCCAATCACTTAACCTTTGACCTCTAGAGTACAAGCGTCTTATAGGTGACCTTCTTATGACTTACAGAATCCTTAACACTTCTGGTCATCCCCTTAAACATCTTCTTAAGCTTAGTCACAACACTAACCTAAGAGGTAACACCCAGAATCTGGAGACCCAACATAGCAGAACAAACTGCAGACACAACTTCTACTCCGTAAGAGTAGCCAAAAGCTGGAATTCGCTGCCGACTGATCTAGTCCAAGCGACTTCTCAGGAGTCCTTTAAGAGGAAACTTGACCTATTCCTAAGGACAAAGGATAACATAAAATTTTGATTTACCAAATTCTTTTTTCCTCTATTATCGTTAATAGACCTAGGTTCTTGCCTTGAGGTATTGGTGATCCACTGCTACTAGACACGGATGCCGTTAAGTGAAAGCTTCTTCTATTCCGTCCTCAACCATCTGAACCAATTGAACCGTTTTACGATTTGGTCCGAAGGTTAATTGAGTGGGGGATTTCGAAGTGAGACGCACTGTTACACATACTGTGGTGATTATTGTAAGTTGGTTATTAATAACCATC